CACCTTTGGAATCATGTACATTAAATCCTAATGACTGACATTTGTTTCTCATTGAATCTTTTAAATTTCCAAATGCTGCGTCTATCCAAACAATGCTTTCATAGAAGTTATCACTAATTTCACAGTATTTTCTAGCAATGTGTGTCTTTCCGACACCCGACATTCCATATAAAACTAAAGGTGATCTGTTTGCATCTTGTGAAAAATAACGTTGAATTTTACGAAGAAGTCTTTCGCGTGAAAATAACTTTGCTGAGGAAGGTTGAACAACTAAAAATAAAAAAAAAAGGAAAAGTACAATTTTGCATTGAATTACATTTTTAGCTAAGTTTTTGTGTTTAGTTCTGTTTAATTCTGATGAAAAAATTTTATAACGTTATTATTCGTTAATATATGTGTATATATGTTTTTCTTTTTTCAATACAAATTCTGAAAGTTGTACAAATCATTTAATTAATGAACAAAACATAAGAAGTTTAACTATATGAGGACTAACATATGTAGGGTAGATGCAATAATTAGATTATAGAAAGTTCCAAGATACTGTTTATGAGTTAAACTTTAAAAGTTTTGGTCAACATACCAATAAAACTACAGCTAGAATACTTTAAAAGAATTTCTCAATTCACTTTAAGACCACGTTTTGAAGTGCTTTAACTTTTTACGTCAAAACTCAGACTTTACTTAATTAATCTCATTTATATCCCAAACGAATTTCCGACTTTTTTTGCACCTAACAAAATAATTATAATTTCACTTTAAGACAGCCACCTTTAATTTTCTTCATTTTTAAACACCATATTTTTTAAATATATAAAATTAAAAAAAAAAAGTTTTTTACAAATTATCTAAAGAAAGGCGACTTCCCCTATTACCCACCTTCCTTTTTTCCTATGAGTACGCCCTGAACTGACTTTGATGATTGCTAAAGTAAATAGATTTCAATTAATTATTATTTTTTTGTTTTTTGTTAGAATTTAAATATCTGTTGTAAACCATTTTGGTTTTGATCTCCATTTTTGAGGTGATCCAGCTTGATTTGGTACATATTTAGCTTATCCTTTTTTGTATCGAATCTCAATGAGTTAAGATATCATGATGAAATTGTTCTTGAAGTTTTCAAGTTGTTTTCTCTATTCTGCATCTGAAAAAAGTTATTTAAGTTTTTATAGTCACCTCTACCATAGTTTGATTTGGTTAGTAATAACACCCTAGTTTGTGAGATTGATGGTTCAAACAAGAAACTCTATATAAGAGTGCAGTAGAAATTATTTTTAATTGAGATGTTAATAGATGGACTAATATAACATAGAAGCATTTTTTGGTTATGTTGTTGTAGACGGGGGCATATTTTATGGTGGAGCATTTTAAACTGGGTGTTCTTTTTAATTTATTTTTTGTATCCCGTAGATATTTTGAAAACGTGGTTGCATTTGCGAGTTTTTTTTTTGAAGGATTGCTTGTGATTCACCTATCTAGTTTTCCGCATGCCCTCTGTTGAACCAATTGTATGTTTTGTCGGGTGTGTTTGGTAATGATGCAATGCACTAATATATTACATTTGTTTTTCTGCAATTTTCGTTCATAGGGCAGATTTTACTTAGTTTACAATTGCAAGCTAAAGTGGCTATCTTCGTGGGTTCATCGAAATAGTTTTATTGTTGTGGTTCTTTATAATTTTTTCTATGTTGCTTGTACAGCTGTGGCTGACTTTATTTGTGTTATGCCTTAATAGTTTATGAAGCGGATTTGATTTTGGAAAGTGTTTGCCAATTAATTGTATGAATGTTTTGCCTATATTTGTGAGAACGTTTTTATTGTCTGGTGAGTTAAACCAGTTTATATTTCTTTTTCTTTTACAATTGGGAATTACTTTGGTATCAATTTTAGGGTTGTCTTTGGAGCCAAAATCTTTAAACCCATTTCTTTTTAGGGCTTCGTCATATTCGGTCCTTGCCAAGTTGAATATTTTTTTGTCAGAAGAATTCTGGGATAACCGTTTGTTAAAAGCATTCGGAATTGGTTTAAAAACTTGTATTATTAAACATAGTTATTCTGCCCTTGCCAAGTTTAATACTTTTTTGTTAGAAAAACTCTGGGATAACCTATCGTTGATAGCAATCGGAATTTGTTTGATAATTTGTGGGGGGTCGTCGGACTCAGTAGGGATGTAAAGTAGGTTGCTATTTAGTTTTTTGAAAGGATAATATGAGTCTTTTTCATAATTAAATGTAATGTCAAAGAAGTTAGAAATTGTTAGGTTTATTGTAATTTTTATTTGGAAGCTTTTAATATTTTTTCGGATTCTATTCATCTATGCGGCAGATTTTTGACGCATTATTATCAGTCTGTCGTCCTGGGTAACCCATATCGCTGTTGGCAACAGGTTAAGATAATGAACTTAATATGTACAGACTAACTAGCTCGCAAACCTCGGCTCCATCGTAACAAGCCATTGTTACGTCAAAGCAGTCGTTAATTACATTTTTTTTCCAATTTTCGTTATTAAAAAATCACAAAGACTTTCTGCAATTATAATTGTTTTGATTTTTTCTTCGATAATTTTTATAAGTTGTTTTGCAAACGTTAGAGCATTTTTTTAGATTTGTGAATGTGATGGATGGGTAAAACTCAGTGATGTCGAGTTGGATAAAAATGCAGTGTTTCTTTTTTTTTATGCTTTCAAACCATTTGATGACTTCACATAGGCTCCTGACTTATTTATATATACAAATTGCTTTTGTTAGACAAATAGCTTTAATCTTTAAAATTTTGAGCCTATTTAACCGTAATATTTTAGCAAGTAAATTAATATTTACTTGCTAAAATATTACGTATTATTTTGCAAAGTAAAGTACTGTGATAAACTGTATTAAAGGCTTTTGAAAGATCAATAAACACGACTAAAACAGTGCATTACTATCAAAGACTAACATATTTTTTCAGCAAGTTTAATAATATTATGTTCAGTAGAGCACTTGCTTTGAAATCAAAACTGATTTTTGTATAATATATTGTTTAATGTAAAGTAATTATTAAATTTATTGTATATTAGGGTAAACTGGGGTAAAGTGAACTGTTTTTGATTTTTAAAGGAAATATTTTCAAAATAAAAGCCAAAACATTTTGCAGTTTTCAAAATTTATACCATTTAAAGTATTAGGTACAATATAAAACAAAATACTAAGATTAAAAGCTACTTTTACAATATTAAATATATATTCAAAAAAAACATGTCCACTAGTTCACTTTACCCCCACATTGGGGTAAAGTGAACTACTTCATCTTTAACTCTTTTGTGTTTGTTATTTCTAATAAATTAGTTTTTTTATTTTGTATTTTGCCTTGCTGCCTGATCTTTCTTTTAAAGCATTCGTTTTCTTCATCATTTAATCTTTTAAATGCATCTTCTGATGTAAGACACTCACCTCCATAGTGTCTTTTTATTTTTTTTGTAGGTCGTTTGTTGTATGAACGACCATCACCCTTTGTGGCCATTAACTGTTCTTTCACTATTTCTCTAATGATTTTATTTCCAGTAGAACAATCTACATTTGATATTGATAGTTGATTTATTTTTTCATTGTTTAAGTCTTTTCCTACTGATATTATAGTTTTTTGTGAATTGTATTTATTTGTTGATTCAATAGAAAAATTTTCACAAGTATCGTTCTGATCATTGACATTGGTGTCTAAAACGATGTTTTGAGGGACGTTATTATTATAGTTATTTGTTTTCTGAGAAAAAGGGTGTTCATAGATTTCAGAAGGATTTAACTTGTCAGATGCTATAGCAGATGGATCAAAGGGAAAAATTCCAGTTTTGGCAAAGGATTGTACTAAATGAGCTGGCTTAAAGGAGGTATCATAAAGTTTTTTTAATAAAGATGGAAAAACAGATTTCCCAACCACCTTCAGCCTTGACTCGGTATACCAATTGGCCAGAATTTCACGCCATACATGTTTAACTTGGCGAAAGACTCCTACATCAAGTGGCTGAAGCAAATGCGAACAGTGTGCTGGCAAACACAAAATAGTTATATGATTTTCAACTGCTTTTTTAACAGTTTCTAAAGAAATATGACTAATGTGACCATCAAAGATAAGCAAAACAGGCTTGGGTGTGTCTTTCAACCATAAAACAAGATGGTTAAAGTATTCAGTGAAAACTTCTGTTTCCATCCAACCGTTTTTTGTCACCCCATATAAGGAACCATTTGGTCCACCAGTCATCCACTCTTTATACAAATTCTTCCCAGCAAATAAAATAAATGGAGGAAAATTTCTTCCTGCAGCTGATATTGTTGCTAGTACAGTAAACTGTTCTTTTCCTGATCCAGGAGCAATAGATACAGGGTTTTTAATACCTCTTTTGCAAATAATTTTTTTATTTATTGGGTTAGTGCAAAACCCACTTTCATCGCAGTTTAGTATTTGGGCAGGTCTATTCATAATGTCACATTTTTCCAATGTTGCTTTAAGTAATAAAAACCAAGCATCAATTACAGTTTTATTACAAGCTAAGGCTCTTGTTAATGTCAAAAGCTCTGGAGTTCTTATAGACATTTCTTTCTGCCAACGATTTAAAAAATTACAAAACCACTGATCACCAGCAACACCATTAACAAATTTTTTCTGAAATCCGTTTAATTCAATATACGTTTGAACAAGTTTCATAAATTGTTTTTTATCTAATCCAAATCCAAAATCAGAAAATGCAGATAAAAGTGAAACAAGATCTTTTTCAGCATCAGCAGATAATCGGTTTGGTCGCCCTTCACCAACTTTTGAGCATTTTATGCCTAGAAGATGTCTTGCAATTGTACTTCTTGGAACACCATATTCTTTTGATGCAGCATACGAAGTCATTTCTTTATTTTTAACTTTCGAAATGGCATTTTGCAACAAATTAGGTGCATATGTTTTTCTTCGAGATTCTTTTTTCTTAATGTAGTTTTTTTGGCATTATTTCAATATATTATATTTCTGAAAATAATTTTAAGAATATTTAAAAAAAAAAAAAATTATTTTAAGAGTAAACAATTTAGTTAAGTAATTACAACTTATATATTCAGTTCTACTAAAAATATTTGATGAAAAAACATAAGAAAAAGACTAGTTCACTTTACCCCCAATAGGCAGAAAAATAAGGGGTAAAGTGAACTAAATTGATTTACAAACTAAAAGCTTAGCTTTTTTATATTATGATAAAAACTACAATTTTTTTTAACAGCATTATATTATCTTTAAAATGTATATAAATTATATAA